AGCATATTTAATGTATGTGTAATAAATACCATATTACATATCTGTACTATTCTCTCTCTCTTATTGTGAAATAGAAGTACAGTATTTAAACTGTATTTAAAATATATTAACTATCTTTACTATATGTGCATTCATAGGGATTATTAATTAACATAGGAGATTAGATTACGTGATTCTAAGCAATGGTTGAATACGATAGCAACTATTGAATTGTATCAATTTATACAATTGCAACAATAATAATTACAATTTATGTATTTTATTACAATTTAATTACATATATTTGTGTTTAGATATTGTAAAAAAAATGTAAATAAAATTTTATACTTAATTAATAAACAAAATTACCAGAAATTTTTATTCTACATGGATGCACAGAATGGTTGAATTACATAAAAATCATGATTTATATTATTCATATAACGCAGAACAGCATTCGAATAAAATGAAAATTTCTATCAGAAAGTTGTGATTTTTTTTGTCACAATACATTTTTTGTCCTCTCCTCTTTTTACTTAAATATTTTGTTTAATATATACAAAAAATTTATTTAATAATGATAATATTATTTAAAATTGATTACAATTAGAAATTTATAAGTTTTAGTATTTTGTAAAGGAATATTTTATTAGATTTTGCGTTAACTGTCTTAAGTAATCTTAAATATGTTATATAAGATAATCTCTTTTCTCTTTCTCTAAAAGAAAGAAGTTATTTAAGTTAAGCATAAAGAAATGATAGCGTGCTAATTGCGTTTATCATTTTCACGTAATCTGTTTACAAATATAATTTTATTACTTATTATACACATCTTCATAAAAAATTTCTTTTATTGTACTATATCAGAAAATGATTATAAAATTTTACCATCATCTGTGTTTTTTTTATGGTTAGAACAAAATTTAAATAGTGTCCATTTGAATTCAAAAATTTTCACAAATCTTGATTATCTTTTTTTTATACGTTCATGTAGTGCAATGTACGATGTATATCAATATGCACACATTCTGTAAGTCAGCAGAAAGTACAGCAGGAGTACAGTTCTCGTCAAGACAGCAATAGCAGAGGCAGATTGTTGGCTTGCCTGATCCACATCTGTTGGTAATCATTTACCGAAGCTCTCAAAAACCGCAATGAATATGAGGAGATCTTAAAATTAACAAGATCGAACTCTCTTCGCTGT